CCACCGCGTCCGTCGCCRCCGCARCATCYGGTTCCCRTAATTTTTGATTTCTCAGGTTCGGTTCCAACAATTTTTTGATTTCTCAGTTTGATTTCAAAAGTTTCTTCTCATTTTATCTTTTAGGGTGCGTTTYCATTGACATAAACACTTTGATTTCGAGTTGACCACTAACTTCTGTAGGATTTTCTTCCCAATTCTTCATTCCAGCCTCATGTGATGAACCTGAAGTCTCCAAATGCARTTCTTGTTTTTCCCTTTTGATGTCAGGTTGTCTACTTGAAACTCTACTGTTTTTGGCTTTAGTGACACGAGTATTTGAATTTTTTGAAAGTTGTTGCGATTTCAYTCTAGAGTCTCTCAACATCGTCAACTGGCCSAATCTTTCGACTTTTTCTTCTCTTCRATTATTCAAAGAAGAGAGAAACTCTCAATGAGCMGGACATAACTTATGGCTTTAATGCAAACTTTTATCTGGTGGTGAATCATTTTTTATTTTACATATGATCATCTTTTCCATAGTATGGGAACATCATAGCTTTTTAGGAACTTTTATCTTCTTATGTGAATATGTTAACTGATATCTTAATCAACAAGGTTATTTGTGTACAGTCACATATGAGCTGAAAGGTAAAAGTGTTTGATCTAGCAAGGCTTTCCCTTGTCATGATGCAATTTCCTCATGGATTTTCGGGCTCAAAGGTCCAGTCTTAAGTTTTAACATCCGGAATCAATTTAAATTTGCCTTCTAATACAGTCTGTTAAATGAACTGTTAAATTTGCCTTCTTGATAGGTGTGTTACTTGTATGCCACATAATGATATGATCTTGTAATTTGGTGATATGTTTGTTTTGTTGGTTGCATGCTTTGGGGGCATATAAATACATTTAATTAAGGACAAACAAAGACATGTATCATCCTCTGAAGAGTTTCTATTTTATTTGTAGATCATTTAGAATTACGAAATGGGAGGATACTATCAATATGTAGGGGTCTCTTATAATCCAATCACGGGAGAAGCAATGATTAGGGTAAGTCGTTATTCATTTTTCAGATTCAAATAATATTTTTAATGACTATTGCTTACATTTTATCTTCATTATTAAAGACATCATCAGGTGTGCCACAACCAATATGACCCGAAGGCATCTTATCGTATTCAATTTCAAGTGAGTCTGCTGTTAATGATGAAGACTGTGATGAAGGTGATATTACTATTGGTGATGAAGAGCATTATGAAAGGGATGATGTTTTAGACCTCAAGGAGGGTTACAAAAAAGTCAAATGGTTGTATCTCCACCAGAAATTAATGATGTAAATGAAGAATTGTTCATCCCACGACTTTAACATAGATTAGGTGTTACTTTGGTATATTTTAGCACAACCTATGGTATATTTTGGCATAATAGTTGGTATTTTTGGCGCAACTTTTGGTATATTTGGGGGAATTGTTTGTATTTTTTGGTGCGACTTTTGGTATATATTTTGGTTCAACTTTTGGTAAAATGCTCAAATTTTGTATACAGATTATTTATGCTTTGGGTACAGCTTTTGTATCTTTTGAGAAGAGTAATGAGAATGKTATTTGTTTCATTTTATAAATTGAAGTATTTTTTTGGTTAAAAAATGTTTAGGGACTAAATCATTCAAAATATAAAAGTTCATTAGTTTTTTGTCAGAATTTTTCTATTATTTACCACATAAACCAGTTTTATAGGTTATAAGGATGTATCTAACAAGTTTTAGAAAGTTTAAGGAGTTATTTAATAGGTTTTAAAATGTCCAAAGATTTATTTGTTCCAAAAAATTATCCAATGACTTAATCATTCCTAACACTAAAGTCTATTGGGTTTTTTTAGACTTTTCCTTTTTTTTAATTTGTTTGGTTTACCTGCTAACCAGGTTATAAGTTACATTTTTAAAGAATGATGACCTATTTAACAGGTTTAAGAAAGGTTAAGGATTTATTTAACAAATTTTCAAAAGTCCAATGACTTATTTGTCCCAAAAAATTGTCCAAGGACTTAATCAATCAAAACAATAAAGTCCATTGGTTTTTATTGGACTTTTCCCTTAATTTAATTTACATTTATTAGATTTTCAATTTTATTTTACACCCTTATTATATCAATGCACATAATCGTATATTAACTAAAGTACATAAAAGTACGTTTTTTTTTTACAAATTACATCATTAATCGTCTCGTCAATACTTCAAAATGAACCTGATATTGAATATTTTTTTGGTTTTAATCATATTAAATATCGTAAGTATGTATGAATTATTTTTAATATTTATAATTTCTACCCTTATAATTATTTATTTAACCTGTAACTATATATACGATGAAAAAAATGTAAGTATTAGAAATAATTCGTAAGTATTTATAATATCCAATAACATCGGATTATATAAATAAAATATTTAATATTGGGTTAGTTTTAAACGTATCGACGAGACGATTATAATAATGTAATTTTTTTTAAAAAGGGAATGTATTTTTTGATATATTTTAGTTAATATATAAATATGTGTGTTAATATAGTAAATATGTAAAATTAAAAATAAAAATTTAAAAGAAATAAAATAAATTAAATAACTATGTTAAAAATATCTAGTGCCTTGTGGAGAAAATGGAATTTTATGTAAAAATGATTTTTTTTTTTTTCAAAAACAATCTTTATGCAGAAAAAAAAGAACATTTTACAAAAAGATTTTGTATGAACTTTGCTATTTAAATCATACTTTTCAGTTTTTTAAAATAAAAATTCAATAACTTTGTGATTGCAAATTTATATTTCAAATTAGAATGTAAATAATAAGCGTGATTCAGATTAAGCCATCGACTTATTAATTACACGGTAAGCAAACATGCGTACATGAATGATTGTATAAGCAAGTTGGATGGAGAAATTTATTAAACATATAAACAAATAACACCAAACCAACCCTCCATCCACTTTTATTATTTCAAAATAAAATAATAAATTAATACACATTTTGTTATTGGTGGGTGGGCACTGAATGCCCCCAAAACCATGGGCATTTCCTTGTCTCAGCCTATTGTTTTTACCCCTAAACCCCTGGGGCTGTTTTTCAGTCTCTTTTTTTTTGGGTGGTTTGCTTTAATCTATTTAAACCCCATTCCACTCTTCAGCATTTCAAATCATCTTCTTCATCAAACACTCGAGAACAAGAATCAGAAAAGTAATCAAAGATAGGATGAGTTCAACAAGCAGAGCATGGATGGTGGCCGGAACTGTTGGATTGGTGGAGGCACTCAAGGATCAAGGCTTTGCACGATGGAATTATGCCCTCAGGACCCTCCACCACCACGCCAAGTCCAATCTCCGGTCAATCTCTCACATCAACAACCTCTCATCACCGCTGGCCATGGTTTCAAGCAAAGGCATGGAAGAGAAAATAAGTCAATCGGAGGAGTCATTGCGAAAAGTCATGTATTTGAGCTGTTGGGGTCCCAATTAATCGACTCTTTTAGTTTTTTGTAGGTAGATGCATAGATATGACAGGAGTTTTTACTTGTAATTATGTACGATCTGTGGTAATGGAAAAGACTTAATTTGGATTATCATGAAATCTATTAATTATATAAAGATGGGTGTCAAAAGCATACAAACCCATGGCAGCAATCCAATTTCCTACTCATGTACGCAGCTGTATAATCGGATCATATTTGATCTTTTCAGATGGATTTCCTTATCATTCTATCAATTTATTGAGAATGATACGTTTGAAAGCATGATTCAAGATTCCTTTTTCAAAATGAAAGTGTTTTGTTTCCTTTTGGATAATTATGAAGCATCGGGGATGTAGATAAGTGATAGATAACAAAAGAAAAGGGTGTTATATGATTCACATATGAAGGGACTTCTAAAACTTATCCAATTGGATGCTTAGAGTGTGAAATGATATATGTGGATGGCCCAATGATGATAAGGAGACTTTCATCATCTATTATCTCTCTTCCATATATGAAAATACCTTCTCAAACAAAAGTTTCATCTTTAATCTATACACACAAATTAATTAACTCAGACAATTTATCCATACAAAATTGATGGAAAACCAACCAAACAGCCCTTTAGTTGACTAGACTAATGTGCTATTTTTAAAAGAGTCTTTTCTCAATTTGGTGTGAAGTCCCGATTAGATGGTGTAGCCCTGATCTGAGCTCTAGCTGACACACTCCTACTCGATAAAAAAAAAAAAAGACGAGATCAACCTAAACCATGTTGGTTGATATTAACTAGTAAAAGGATAGAACAAAGAAAATCATACGCATATCTTGTAGTTTCAAAGAATAAAAACAACACTTGATACAGTTTGCTTTTCACGAACCATTCTCCCATAAACTAGTCGAGAATAAGCCAACTGAACAACCATTGAACTCCATCAAACACAATCCACCAACAATAAAAAAAAATAAAAGACTTAAGGTACCATCTTAATGATAGTTTCTTTTATTTTCCTTATTAACTTGGGATAGTCCAATTGCCTACAAATCAGAATGTTATATTCCTTTTATTGGGTTAGTTTTATTTAAAGATCTATAATTAGTTTTACAGTGATTAAAGATTTAGTTATTAAAAAATATCTATTAATATAATCATTTAAAATATAAAAGTCTCTTACATTTTTAGATTCTTTTCATGATTTTACTATATTCATCAATTTATATATACTTTTACATAATTTATTTAATATATTTAAAAAAAATTAAGTTATCCGAAATTTAATCTATGAAAATCAAAAAGGTCTTGTGATTTTTAAAAACCTTCCCATTGTAATAGAATAAACATATTTTTATTTTCACAAATTGAAATTGGAACACATAAAGCATAGAAATTAGAAACTCATATTTTAAAATAAAATTTTCTATTTAAAATCAATAAAAAAAAGTAATAAATATAGAAGTCTATGAGCCAACCGGCAAGTGGAATGGAAGAAGGGTATTATTGACAATTGGGTGCTCTCAAACCATTGGCTTCTGTTTCCAGTTTCGATATCATAAAAACTTGGGGCTCTTTCACTTGACATCTATTTATACCCCATTCCACCCTTCTGCTGCTTCATCGATCATCTGCACCTTACTTTCAATTTAAGAAAAAAACAACAATCTTGAAATAGCATGAGTTCAACAAGCAGAGCATGGATGGTGGCCGGAACCGTTGGATTGGTAGAGGCACTCAAAGATCAAGGGTTTGCACGATGGAACTACACCATCAGAACCATCCACCACCACRCCAAATCCAATCTCCGGTCAATCTCCCACACCAAAAACCTGTCATCACCGGCGGYCATGGCTTCTAGCAAAGGCCTACAACTAGAGAAAACAAGTCAATCGGAGGAGTCATTGAGAAAAGTCATGTATTTGAGCTGTTGGGGTCCTAACTAAACTAAACATCCAGCTGTTTTGATCAAGATAACTTGATTAATTCCACTACATGATGCTACTATTTGCTATGGAAAAGTTATACTCCATGATCCCAGACTTGAACCAATTCATCAAGTCGTTTTTGTTCTCATTTTCTTGTAAATTAAGATGTAAATACATATATTTAAGCAATTGGCCTGTTTTATATACCAATCAAGAAGATCTTCTTGTGTTTTTCCTTGCTTGGTTGAAAGAGGGTGGCTTCATATCAGAATTATATATATGCATATAGTTGATAAAAGTTGTGAACTAGTTTTGTTGTATGATCTCTCTTTCCCACCTATTGAACTGAAGATATCCTCCCTCAATGCATGGTTGTCAAATGTCTCCCCTCAACCAAACTCACTTAAATCACTGTTTATAACTTATAAAACAACTCCAATTCTTCTGAAAAACTAAGTCAAGTCTTTGAATATTTTTTAATTGAAATGTATGTTTTTGAGAAGGGAGGAAATTCAATAAAGAAAGGGAAAGGGCAGCAGCTGATTCAATGTCCATCTACGTGCCTTGATGTGTATCCTAAAGGGACAGGTGGGGAGCATGTATGGGTTACCATCTCATGACTCACAACCATGTGCATGCACCTGTCTAGCTCTCATATAATTTAAAAAGTTGCGGGTTCACAAAACCACTATAAATATACCTTTGCCTCATCTCTTCCTATCATCTTCAAAACAACAAACTCCATACCATTATAGTTAATAAACAATAAGAAGCTATGAGTTCCATGCAGGCCCGTTCCTGACAATTTTTAGGCTCTGGGCGAGATGTAAAAAGAGGGCCCTTGATAAGAATGATATTTTTTCAAGTTTTTATGATCAGAAATAACATTGAATTCATATAAAACCGTTTTCCCGAGTATTTCTGGACGCAAAATCAACCAATACTCATTTGTAAATTAATATTATCTACTATAACATTTTTTTGTAGTATTGTTGATTTGTTTCGTCATCAAAAACATCTTATGATATACTTTTGGTACATAGAATAACATCAATTAGGGTCACAAAGTTGATTCTTCTGATTTCCGAGTGACACAATATAAATCAATGTAAATAGGTTGGTTTTCTATGTCATCTCATTTTAATGTTTTTAACACCATTTTAAACTTTTATATTATGTTTTCGAATTTGGGAAAATTAATACAATTTAAAACTTTTATCATGTTTTTGAATCTGGGAAGATTAATACAATTTTAAACTTTTATATTATGTTTTCGAATTTGAGAAGATTAATATCATTTTAAACTTTTAGATATATGTTTTCGAATTTGAGAAGATTAACATCATTTTAAACTTTTATATTATGTTTTCGAATTTCGGAATGAAAGAAAAATAAAAGAAAAGAAGAAAAATAAAGTTTTTTGTTTGTGTTTTTAATAGAGAAAGAGAGAGAAACGAAAAATAATGAAATAAAAATAAAGTTTGATATAATTTTTTTCCTTTCCCTAAAAAAATCTCGATAACAAAATATTTTTCTTCCCTCGTTATTTTCCTCTCTTTTCCTACGTAAAAGAAGACTCAAGAACATACGGTTAAGGTTAAAACAAACTTTTTTGGAATCATCGATTATATAAATTAAAAAACTCATGTTGGTGATAGTTTGAGATCTTATTCTTCTTTTAGAGATAAAATAGTACATAAGATTTATACACTAAATATTATATAATAAAGAACAACTATGAAAAAACAATTATAGTTTTATTATTCTAAATATAGATATAAGTTGTACCGTCTTATATGGTTGGTAATTTTTTCAAAAGATGGGGGTTGTTAGCTAATAACAAGAAAATCTATCATATTCTAATATAAAAATAGAATTCACGCGAGAATAGAACAATCAAAAGAGTCGATGAGAGATAAATTATGGAGAATATATCAAGGTTTTCGAAGTAAGTAGTTTTAGACGTCAGTTTTAGATAAAAAAAAACTTAGAAAAACATGAAATAATATTATATAATAAACGACAGATTAACCTCTTTAGGTATTTTTTTTCTCCAATATATTTAATTCATACATGTTTGGGTCTTTAATAGTTAATATAGTATCAAAATCTTTTCTTGTCATATTAGATACTAAATTTTTTATGTGTCATGTATTTACTAATTTTTTTTGAACTACTATGATATATATATTAAAAAATTTTGGGCCCCTAATTTTTATGGGCCCTGGGCGTACGCCCGGCCCGCCCTCCCCCAGGGACGGCCCTGGTTCCATGAACCGTGTATGGATGGCCGCCGGRGTAGCCATTGCTAATGGACATACCGATCAAGGCTACAAACTTAAATCACTCATCACCAACTCCTTCCGCCATGCCAACAAACTGCCCTTCACTTCCTCCCAATATCTTCGTCCATTTTCTAGCCTTTTACGCTCCAACGTCAACGTCGGCGACCGGAAGACACAGTCCGACGATTCTCTCCGGCAAGTCATGTACTTCAACTGCTGGGGCTCAAGCTGATCCAAGGGTTTTCATTAATCGATGATGCGAATTAACTCCAGGTTCTGGGGGTTGGGGACGGGAGTGATTGAGTGAGAATATGATTTCCTGTAGAACGAGGGTTAATTGGAAATTGTAAATGTTATGGGCTCTTGTAACCCACATAATATACCATTCTTACCGATATCATGTTGATATATAATGTTTTGAATAATTTATTTAATTTGTTAACCATAATAATATTAAGAAAATATATTCATTAAAGCGGTTTTGATATAAAAAATACACATATGTTAATATGGCACAATAGTGATTTCTTTTGAATAATATAATGGTATAGCGTAATCGTAAAAATTTAAAATTTTCGTGAAGTTTAGGTATAAAGTTAGGTTTTATAAAATCAATTGTTTTAGAGTGATTCGGTGATTTTAAACAAATAATAAAAATCAGGTATTGGTAGCATAGGTTTTTCCCAAGATGGTAAACACAGATGATAGAAACGGTTGTAAAATAATCTTTCATGATTTTTTGCAAGCGTTTTTACCTTAAAGATTTAGAGAGATTATTTTGTTGGGGACGAAGTGTCAGTTTACACATATTATAAAAATCTACACCATTTATTTAATTAAAAAGAGTTAAATATGAGGTAATGATCATGGTTAGAACTGGTAAATGATCATGATTACGAGATTATTTATCATCCGGGAAAAACAAACGTAGCAGGTAATGCACTCAGTCACAAAGAAAAGAGTACTGAGATGATTAAAGTTGTTGCGCTATGAGTTGAAATAGTTCCAAACCTTCTCGATGAGTTATTAAAATGTCAGAATAAAACTTTAAAAGAGAAAAAGATAAAGTTAGAGCGAATTGGAGTTTAGTAAAAGATGGCCGTGGATTTTATGTTTTAAAGGTAGAATATGGGTCCTTTGTTTTAGAAATAACTAAGAGTTGGTGTTAAATGAAATCCACAAGTCTCGGTATTCGATTTTATTGGTGGGCGGGTTTGAAGAAATATGTTGCTCGGTATGTGGAATGTTGTTTGACGTGTCTGCAAGTGAAGGTAGAACATCAGCGACCTTACAGAAGTTTACAATTGTTAGAAATTTCAATGTGGAAATGGGATCATATATATCACAATAGATTTTATAATGAAATTATCGAGCCATTTCGGGATAGATTTGTTTCTTTATTGGATTGGTTTTGGCCGGGAATGCCCGGCTTATCAATTTATCCGGTAAACTACTAGGGGACCGATCAATAGAAATACTCCAACACTCCACTTTTGTCATATAGAATGATATTTTCCATCGTCTAAAATCAATTAGGCGTCCCATAGTGTGACGGGCGGTGTGTACAAGGCCCGGGAACGGCCCGTCGAGCAGGGACGAAAGTCGGCCTTAGTGATCCGACGGTGCCCAGAGACGAGGAAGGGCGTAGTAAGCGACGTTGGGCAGGCGGATTCACATCTCTTACAACCGACACAATCCTCTGTTCTTGGAGCAGAAGCTAAACGAGGGATTTTTTGAGATCAATTCACATTGGACATATCATATAGAATCTTAAAAGAAAAACTCTAAATAGAGACAAAAAGAATTATGATTTGCTTGTTCCTGGGTGACTTATCTGTCAACTTTTCCACTATCATCCCAAAAAAACCAAACTCTGCCTTTGAATTAGCCCCTTCCGATCGTATTTCCCCGGTTTCAATTTTTTCAAATGAACGATTTGAAGACCTATTAATTCTAAAAATTGTGGATCATTCGGACCTAGACACGCGAGACTCAAAATCTCGTGCTAAAGAGCAGAAATATAGGCCTGCCTGCCATCCACACCAGAATAAATAGAGTTTAGTCAAGATGAGACAGATCAACCCCTTTTTTTGGGGCGAGGTTCAAACGAGGAAAGGCTTACGGTGGATACCTAGGCAACTAAATAAAATTCATGATATCCTTATTCCCTATCCTAATTCTCGAGAATATGAACAGAAGGTAGCGAAATTCCTTGTCGGGTAAGTTCCGACCCGCACGAAAGGCGTAAGGAATTGGAATGGAATAATAGTCAAGCTCCCTTCTGCCTTTGCACTCGAGGGCCAATCTCCGTCCGTAATGGATCTTGAAGTACTATTTATGCATCTCCCTGACCAAATCCCCCCTCTTCAATTAAGAAAACGAGAATGCTTTCTTTTTTGCCATTTTTTCATCTGTGAATTGTTAATACACTGAAGAGATTATGATGCTATCTGGGTTATTTTAGATCATTTGACAAAATTTGCACATTTTTACCAATTAAAAAGATGTATTCATTGGAAAGACTTGCGAAGATATATATCGATGAATTTGTAACTCGACACGATGTTCCATTATCGAGTATATCAGATAGCGACAGTCGATTTACTTCGAAATTTTGAGGAACCTTTCGAAAAGAAATGGGATCCCAAATACGATTGAGGACGATTTATCACCCACAAACTGACGGACAGAGTGAGCGAACAATTCAAACTTTTGAAGATATGTTGCGAGCTTGTATTATTGATTGGAGGTTCGTGGGAAAACCACTTACCTTTAATTGAGTTTGCTTACAATAACAATTATCACTCCATTATTCAAGGAACGCCTTATGAAGTTCTATACGGTAGAAAATGTCGAACACCGTTGTGTTGGAATGAGGTGGGAGAAAAGAAATTGGTCGGTCCAGAAATCGTTCAGTTAACAG